CTGCATGGCCAAACACTACCCCATGACTTCTACTACAGAAGCTTGCGTGTCAAACTGCATATTTCACTCCAGCAGAAGATGATCATACTCACTCTTCAAAGTAGCAGTATTGATATTTACCCAAAGAAAGAAAACCAGAATTTTATCGTCTCTTGCTAAATGTGCAAAGATTATCACATTATTTTAGCTAAACTATACACAGTGTTTTCAAATAAAATTAAATATATATTCATGCACTAACTATAATAAATCTCTTATCCCGCAACCTACCCATCTCTCCTAATTTGCTTGGCAGAAAGGGTTATTTCAAATGTGACTGTAGAGCTGATGAGTATTTTTTTAAGGTCAGTCCTGGATACAGGGGGATCAACATTTCCCAGATGTAACTGCAATTGGGTCTTACTTTTTTGTCACAGCTCATTACAGATATGGTGCCAGAAAAGTACAATAATTTGTCACCCCATTAGATTTCCAAGTGAAGAAACGTATGAACTGGCCACGGTTATAATCCTAAGCATAACATGATATCAGAAGATCTCAGGGACCCTAAACATATAGAGAATAAACTGCTTACAGAGTAGCTTCTGTGTATTAAAAAAAATACACCACTGACTCAGTAGAATCTAATTTAGTGTACATAGGATTGCAGCTTATAGCACAAGCCTTAGCAATATTATTTACACAGGTTTCATAAGATTTTGGCCAACTCCCAATTAAATGTAAAGACAATTACACAGGATTATAATTGAACTGCATAAATTCTACTAATCAAAAGACAGCACAGAATCCTATTTTGTTGGGAGCTCGGCAGTATATAAATTGTGTAATTTAAAAAATCTCATTCTGCCTTGCCTATTGTTTAGGGTAAGTAAGAAGCTGTGACAACAGATTTCCCAATGGACACACTCACAATTGTTCATGTGTATCATTTTTATTGCATCTTTTCTGCAAAGAGCAAAAGATACCTTTTATCCTTACAGCATTCCTGGGAGGTGGACAAAGGTAAAACAGGATGCTTATTCCAAAAGCATCATGTCTGCAAGCTTATGCCTAGAATTAAGAGTCTTACAAAATGATTATGTATAGGATTGTGCTAATAAATTTCATGGCAGAGCAAGGATTTAAACCCAGGCCTCTCTCTGCTAAGTTCATGTTAATACTATGTCAGCTGATAGCGTTACAGGCATTTGGTAGGAGAAATCAGTTGTTGTTATAATAAATTCAGATACCAAGATTTAGGCAGCACGTAAGCATAAAGAAAGTAACTTACTCTGTGTTAGGCCAGTGAAAGGTACAATTGGCTTAGAGTTCATCTGCTTTTTGTACTCAGAGCTCTGATTCATAACATTGAAGACTTTTAATGTGGTGGCTTGCTCTTTTGCGCTGTGCTTTTGAATGATGGCATCCATATTTCCTTCAGTGTCATGAGTGTCATCTTGTTTTCTAAGGCCTGGTGGGATGCAAAGAAAGAAGAGTGTAAGGGAGTGCACTATTTTACAGAGAGTAAAATTGGAACCGAGTAATGGGAAAATTCCTCACCTTCTCCAAAATTAATATTCTGCAAAACCAGAGTTATTGTTAAAATAAACCTGGAGAGGCAAAGCACAGACAGACATGAGTTCAGTATGGAAAAAGGTGGATGCAAGAAAAAGGTCATTCAGTCTACTCAAAAAACAACGACTACTACAGAATTCAGTAAGTTTTACTACTGGATAATTCTATTTAGGAAGGCAGACTTAATCACAGACAAACGAGTGAGCAATGCAATGCTAAACACACTTAGGACAAAGTAAAGTAAAGCCAAACTGAATTGTCTGAGACTTCCTTCTAAGCAGACCAACACAATCCTAGGGTATGGATGAGCCACTACAGCATGAAACTTTATTATTCACAGCTATAAGATCCCAGCTAAATAGTTCTATTCTTGTTCTTATTGTCACTGAGATAATTGCTTCAAAATCACATTTGTAGCCTTGTTAACAAAGCAAAGCACTATATTATAAAAAAGGGCAATAGTCCCAATGTTCTGGAAATTATATTTTACTTTCACTGGAACCAAAATGTGCAAAATGTTATATATCTTGCTTCTACGTGGATTACGATTTTATCTTTGGGTATGTAAAGATAGAAGGTGCATGACGGAATGCGACTTGATTGTCGAGTATAACAATCCAAGCTTACCTGGTATTTTGCCTCCAATACATTTTCTTACGATTCTTCTCTTTCAAGCTCACTTCAGTTCTAATGCTGTTTCCAAGTAAGGTGTGGTTCAGACTCCAAATAGGAGCAGCTGCTTCACACAGATAGATAAAGAAATGGCAGAGGACTAATAAAAAAAGGAAGAAACTTTTCCAGCTATGTCTCGTTTCCTCCAGGAGCACATGGCTTCTAGAAGCTCTTCTGTGGGCAGATTTCCAGAGAGGCATAGTCCATTCTAAAGTTGGTTAGTTCCTACTCCTCCCCTCACATCCATAAACACATCTTGCTGGGGGAGGAGCAATCTTTCACAAGCCCAGCAGGAGGTAGAGCTGAACGCTCCCAAGGCGTCCTCTAGCATTCGTCTTCAACTAGTAGGTTGGTATTGATAAATTGCCCTATTTTACAATCTGAAAGAGGAATGGGCCACTAGCTGTGCCAATAGCATTTCATTCTTGCTCGCTTTGAGTTTTTAAGAGAGGGCGATGACGATCAGTGCGAAGGAGGATAAAAGGATTCTGCACTTTTAATTGTGGAATATTAGACGGAATTCTAGGCAGGGTGCAGTTTGCCACGCAAAGAAGGGGGAAATGGTCTTTTCTGTGTCTTTGTAAAAGATTCTTTGCAACTGGTTATCATAGAGATGCAGAAACTTATGCCAGAAACAGATTCCAGATATGAGAATAAAATATGGCCTTCTGTTGGTCATAAATCTGAAAAAGGTGACATGCTTCTCATAAAAGAAAAAAAGTGGCTTACAAATGATTATTTAGCCATCTGTTTTTATCTTAATAAAAAGCAGTTTGGCTTGTGGCTTGTCTTTTAAAAGAAGCTGCATAATGGAGCATAAAATACAGTTATGCCTCTATACTTTTTCTCCACTTAAGTAAGGTACCGCAGAAATTGAACTGATCCTGCTCTACAGCAGAAAAGCTCAGAGAACTGCCTGGCTCCTGGATTGAAAGAATATTTGAAGAGGGCTGTTGAATGCCTGACTTAGCTTTCCCACTGATATGAATTGCATTGCACCCTCAGCTTTTCATTTTGCTTGGTGTAGGAAAACATTTAATAGATTTATTTATACACTCCCCCATGCAAAGAGAATCCTTGGCAAATCTATGTCTTCTCTTCCTCAGAAGAACTTTATGGTACATTGATGTGTGCATGCCCACAGAGCTCTTTTATGTGTCACCCAAAGGGGTTTTCAGCTAGGTTGAAGTGCTATCCAGAAAACTATATGGACATGAAATTTACTATCCTTCCTCTATTGTTTCAAATCACTGAGCCTCTTGACATCTTGAGATTGCCTTTGGACTATTCCAGAATAAGGGAGAAACAGCTAAAGAAGACTTCAGGAAGAAAATGTGCAGAGGACTGGACTAGGACTGGAGAGACTGAAGTTCAAGTTGCCCCTCAGCCATGGCCAATTTTGGACCAATCAATCAAGAACAACCTCATGAGATTCCTATGTAGGCCATCTTGAGTTCCTGGAGAAAGTGTATGATCAAAATTTAACACATGTCATGGAAAAACAGCAGAGCATGTTGTTTTTACAGGTGTGGAAGTGCTCTAAGGCTTTATTCTACTTGTGATTGAAAAATCAAGCTGCCATTTAAGATACAGATACAAACTTTGTCCAATCTCATGTATTTCAGTAGCTTTACAGTTCAGCTTCATGTATCCTTAGTTTATCTCAGGAAAACTGGGAGTGGGAACAAAGAGACTGGGCATCTTTTCAATAGGAACGACTTTCCTGTAGTAAGGTTCTCTCTGATGAATCATACTTGATGCATCTCTACATGGCATAGCGCTTCCCCCAAATTCCTAAAATAATCACCATCTGAAAGATTCTATTCTGGTTAAGTCCCCTAAAGAGAACCCAGAAGAGCTAATAGTTAGACCCACTGAACTGAGGGATAAAGAACTCCATGGGAACAACTCACATATATGAGTATAGCAGTGATTTAGAGACGGAACACATGGAAATGATTCGCCCAGAGTGTACAGTTATGTTCTTCCAAGTCTTCTTTATTCAAAGAAAATAACCAGATATTCTCCGCATCAACACAATTCAGGCTGTGATACGCCTACAAAAAACAACAACAACAAAAGGAATAAAATGCATTATTAATTAACACAGGGAAAAAACCCTACAAGTTACAGAAAGATACATTCCAACATAGCTAATATTTTAAATGCCTGAAAAAAGAAATATGCTTGGTTGGTTTTAAAATAGTAAGGTAAGTGTTAGGTACAGCCAGTTTGGGGAGTGGGGGCAGTTGTAACGGTGAAAACACCACAATAGATTTTTACTGTATGAATGCAAATTGGATACTGCAACAAAGATACAGATCCCATTAGTTCAGATATTTTACAAAATGACACATTTGTTTTTGTAATTTGGTAATGCAAAACATGTAAATATTTATTCAGTTCTTTGAGGATCTCAGGTTTTGGTTGTTGTGATAAGATAAACTTAAATCCATTTTAGTTTTGTTTAATAAGCCATTCTAGCCTCAGTTCTCTGCCCTCTGAAATAAAAATAAGATTGAATCACTTTATATTGAATTTGGGAGAATTGGATAAGATAATTGGCACAATTTCATTGTTAAAGAAGGAATCATGTCAGCTTTTTGCAACAAAACAATGAAATCTTGTAATACTTTGAAGGTTAATGAATATGACATATGATATATATTCCCCTGAGCTCCCTCATTTTCCAGAAGAATTTTATGCTCAATTGGTAGCTAAATATGCTTAAAGTGGAATAACAATCACCAGTGAGATTAGATGGCAATGGAATGTATAATGTAGCCTATGGTACTAAGGATGCAATGCTAGAAGCACCAACGTTTTGGAAATAACGACCATTTGAATGCACTGTTCACATTTTCCTGGCTACATGGATCTGCCAATAAATCAGTGAAATCATGAACTAATGAAATGGACTGTAGTACAGTGGGTTCTAGCCGTTTCCTTTACGTGGACCACTGTGGTATCATTGAAAACTCACAAGGAGCACCATGTAAGCCAGAGGATGGTAATTTGGTGTTCATATGTGCTGATATGACATATAGTACTTGACAGCTCTCCAGGTGGCAATTACAAGACCACAACATTCAAACAAACAAAGAAACAGCATTAAAATGACCAACATGTTTTTAGACTGCCAAATCTTGCAGGATAGATGATGATATAATTATAACCATTTGCTAGATATATATCTGCCTTCACCACGGAGCATTTCCTATATGTTCAGCAGTCATGAACCTTGAGTTTGGCACCACTGCTTACTCCTTAAAAAATATGCAATAAACTTTTTATTTTAGTCTTTGCGGGCTAAAAGACAGCTAGTTTTACATTGTTAGAAGTTTTATAGAACAGGTATTTTATGTAATCTGACTCATAAGAAAGCCCACTGAGTCCAAATGAACTTATTTTGAGTTAACTATATATTATCTTAGTAACAAACTTTCTTTATAATGTAGGGATGTAATAATAATAATAAAAAAATTGATAGCACGTTTCTTTAAATAATTACTAATAGATGCTATCTTCCACCATGCCTGTTGACATCTGTTGTAGAATATAATGCTGTAGTATTTCATAAAAGGGAATTTAAGAAAAGAATTATTAATATATACTAATGTACATTATTTGAGAATGAATTCCATTTAAATTGTGGGTCAAATATCTAAAGGATTCATAGGATTGGGAAGCATAATTTATATAAATTAGAAAGATGTTCATGAATAAACATGTTTAGGATTGGTGTACAATTCTTAAATTATATTCTGCTTAAACTTTCATACATCTGTGTAATTGCCTCTCACTAAGATGTGTTGATCATCCTTTCTAACCATTGAGTGATCATTTCAGTGAGAGAGGTGAATGCATTTTATAAGCACAGGAAATCTGAGTTAGGCACAAGAACCTTTCCAATTGGGGTTCTTATCCCATGATAAGGACTATTGCTATTAGACATACTGGCTGAAGCACAATATTGTTGAGGGAGTTTGGCCAGGTCCATGTAGTCCTACTTCTTAATGCCTGAAGATAGCTTCTGTTAGTTTGCTATCTGTCATCTTAAGAAATATAAGAACTGAGCTCTCTTCAGCATCCAAGATATGCATTTGCCCTTCATCATAAACTGAAGAGGCAAAGCAGATGCCAAGCCAGAATACTTATTTGTTTCAGAAAATGTAATCTTTCTTTAAATGCCATTTCTGAGATGGATATATTTCTAATGCAGACCTTGACTCTATGTCAGAAGCAGAGAGAGACAATGTCAGAAATATGAATGAAATGTCACACTTCATGCCATTTGCTTAAGATCAGAAGTCTGTCTTAAGTGAAAGATCTAATGGTTCAGGCAACTGTAAATCAACTGAGAAATCTTTCTCAGCTTCATGCCATGTGTCTTTTTTTGTTTTCACCCACAAGAGGGAGTAGGCAGTGTGGCAACAGATCTACTTTCTTTCCCTGTCCTGGAGGGAGTTTGCCATTAGAAATGCTGAATGGCCTCAGATGTTTGATGTCAAGAAAGGTCCATCAGAAAACAATTCTACAGGCCCCAAAGCTGACAGGCACAGTAATGATATGCCCCTTCCTCATCCTTCACTTTTATCAGTCCTCCAAAACAAGATAAGATTGGAAACTCAACTTAGAACTTACCCTAGAAATGTCATTCTGTTTACAACAGAGGACCATTGCAACATTCAACAAGGCAAAATGTCACTCCCCTTTGTTTTGCAGTAGCTTAAGGGACTTCAGATTGTCTGATGAAAATATTTAAAGGTAGAATTTCTAGTTGTTGAATTAATCTTTGAATACTACTAATGTTCACCTACACTGCAATTATTACCGAAAAGAAATCTTCCATGTCAACTTGTCTGTGCTTTCATCAGACATAGGGAAATTGTGATCCTCCAGGCATAATAATTCCCTCTGGTTTTACCCAGCATAATCAGTGGTGAGGGATTATAGTGTTGCAAAATTTAGGGGACCGCTGTTTCTCCAGTGCTTGTCTACATTGACTTGCTGAGGTCTCTCTCAAGTGCATTTATCAGATATGGAATTGTTGGCCATAGGCAAAACAGCCTATTGAGTTGCGATGTCAGTGTTCTAGTTAAGGTATATCTTGCCCAAGAAAGGCAGCATAGTCCATTTTATTTCTTTTTTAGAAATCAGATTTTTACAATCTGATGCC